CGATTTCAAGATTTCCATGTTTGGAGGATGTCTCGGGCGAGCCGCCCATTTGTAGCAAACGACGTGTTAAGATACGACCCCCAACTTCACGATTTGGCGAGGATGTCTCGAGCGAAACGCTCGTTTTTAAAACTTATCTTGACATGAACTGGAAGCGCGTGAAATCAAAGAGCTTGGCAAGAACGTGCGCCAACATCAGGTTCGTATGTCGCGTAGGCGCTCTTTCCGAACGTCCACAGGGGGTACCAGGTGGACTTCGCTATCCGCGCCAGTTCAGACGTGCGGCTGACCCCGAAAGTCCGCAAAAAGAACCAGATGGAGTTCACGATCCGCGCAAATTCCGATGTGCCGCTCACCCCGAACGTCCACAAACGATACCAAATTGAATTCACCATCCGCGCAACTTGAGCCACCGCTCACCGCGAACGTCCGCAAAAGATACCAGGTGGAGTTCATTACCCGCGCGAGTGTAGACGTGGCGCTTACCCCGAACGCCCCCAAACGATATCAGGTGGAGTTCACTACCCGCGCGAGTCCAGAAGATTTTTGGAGGATGTCTCGAGCGAAAGGCTTTGTTTTTAACAGAACTGTTGAACAACCGTGGGCTTTTCAATGATTTCGCCTTCGAGGACCCGTCCGAAGGCAATTTTTGGAGGATGTCTCGAGCGAAACGCTCATGTTTAACAACGCTGTTTAAAACCATTGTTTTTCAATACTTTCGCTTCTTGGGTAGTCTTGGAGGTCATCCGAGATCGCTCCAAAAAGATGCTTTACAAGAGCTCTTGGTGCACTTCATTTTTTTTGAGGATGTCTCGGGCGAGACGCCCAATTCCGAGGATCCGTATATTAGGCGAGCGATTTCAAGATTTCCATGTTTGGAGGAGGTCTCGGGCGAAACGCTCATTTTTAGCAAACGACGTGTTAAGATACGACCCCCAACTTCACGATTTGGCGAGGATGTCTCGAGCTCAACGCTCGTTTTTAAAATCCGGCAGGTCTGAATCAGAGAGCAACGCCGAGACCTTCCCCCCCAAGCTTCCCCCAGTTGATAATATTTCCCTCCGGGTCTTCACCAACGTCCATCGCGCGACTCTTCGAGTGCAAGCGCGCTTCCCGTCATCCGCCAGGTCTGAATCAGAGAGCAACGCCGAGACTTCCCCCCTCAAATTCGCTCCAGTTGATCAATTTCCCTTAGGGTCCGCACCCACGTCCATCGCGCGACTCTTCGTGTCTAAGCGCGCTTCCCGTCATCCGCCATCTGTTTCTCCCCCCCCCCTCCCGTTTACATTCGGGGCCCTGAAGAAGGAACCCTTTTCGTTGGGGAGGGGCTCCGCGTTCTTTAAGTGTTTCACAGCTTGCCTCAGGTTTTCCTTATGTCTTCGATAGCAAATCGAAGCTTAACTTATGGAAAAAAGGGGCCTCGTTCCTTATTTAGGGTTCCTTAGGTCAACGCCCCGACTGTATCTTCCCGCCGTGAACGAACGCCCGACGGTTCCCCTTCGAGCCCGCTCTGCGTTCGCGCCCGTCCTGGCCGCCGACGAGCCCGGGGTCGCGGGCCCACTCGGCGGCCGCACGGGCCGCGTGTCCGGCACCGCATCCTCTGGAGCCGTGCCCGTGTCCGCGCGGCGGCCGAGCGGGCCGAGCCGCAGGAACGGCTCGGGCGGGAGTCCTGGGGAGGATGCGGCTGGCGCGGAAGAGGTCGGATCCAACACCTCTTACCCCCAGCCCCTAGTGGGCCCTGGAAACGACAGTCCGAGCACAGTATCTGACTACCACCACCAAGATCGATAATAATATGCGATGCGATTTGGTGCAGTTTTGCTCTGGTGAAAAGCCCGCAGTCCCCCCCCGCCGCCAACGGCAACCGGGCTGCCCCCTCTCTCTTAAGGACCGAAACAGAATTCATCAAAGCACGCGCGGTGGTGGTGTATATAATTTTGGTTACCAAGGGGAGCGATCTTTATACACCACCACCAAGAAGTGCTGTTTCTGCTTGAGGAACTCCTCATGCCACGGCGCCGGCGAGCTGCGCCGCGCTCTTTTTCGCCGTGGCGTCGCAGCGTCGTCCGGCATGACCCTGCCCCTGGCCCTTTTTGCGGAAAATTATTGTTGTGGGCGGTGGTGGTGTATACAAATTGGCCTCGCAGACAGGGCCGTTTTTTTACCGGTTCCGCTTTGCCGTTTTTTTGCCGGTTCCGACGCCGTTCTTTTACCGGTTCCGTCGCCGTTTTTTGACCGGTTCCGGCTCCGGTTCCAATCTTGGAGCCGTTTTTTGGCCGTTTCCGGTCGCCGTTTTTTTGCCGTTTCCATTTTCAAGGGACATTTTTTTTTTTGGAAACGGTGAGAAAACGGCCCTGCCGTTTCCGGGGCCCACAAAGCTCGTGCGGGAGTCCTGGGGAGGATGCGGCTGGCGCGGAAGAGGTCGCATCCAACACCTCTTACCCCCAGCTTCCCCCCGGTGATGAATGCAAGGCGAGTCTTAGGGTCCCTCCCTGCCTCTCGCCCTTCCTTCGGAGGAGCGGCGGTGGAGGCGTCGGCGGCGCCGACCCAGGCAGTCCGTGTGAAAGTTCGAGCGCTTATGCTTGTGTTGTTTGTTTTGCTCTACTGATGGGGATGAGGAGGAGGAGGCGGAGGAGGAGGAAGAGGAGGGGATAGGTGCGGTCAGGGAGGATGGAGGGGAGACCCACTTCCCCGACGTGTTTTTTTTTTTTTTTTTTTTTTTTTTTTTTTTTTTTTTTTTTTTTTTTTTTTTTTTTTTTTTTTTTTTTTTTTTTTTTGTTTTTTTGTTTTTTTGCGCAGCGTGGTCCCCGCTGGAGGTCTGGATTCCTTTCCCGCTACCGAGCTTCATCCCGAGCTGCTTCTTGACGGTCCCCAGGTGCCCCAGAAGTGCCCTTCGGAGGCCGAAAACTGCCAGAAAGCTCCCGTCGTGTTTCTGTTCGCGACGCGAGGGTGGGGAGAAAGGAAGGCGGCGAGGAGGAGGAGGAGGAGGAGGAGGAGGAGGAGGAGGAGGAGGAGGAGGAGGAGGAGGAGGAGGAGGAGGAGGAGGAGGAGGAGGAGACCTCCTGAGGCTCCCTTAGCGCATCCTGGAGGCTTCTTGAGGGCGTCTTGGAAGGGCCCCGTGGGGCCTCTTGGGGTCACCTGTGGCATCTTGGGGACCTCTTGGGGGCCTCGTAAAGGGCGGACTGGCCTTTGGAGGCTGTCTTGGGGTCCTCTGTGGGCAGTCGTGGGTCCCTCTTTGGTCGCTTTAGGGCCGTCTTGGAGGTCTCTGGGGCCGTCTTGGAGGCGTCTTGGGCGCCTCCTGGGCCGTCTTGGGGCCGCCTTGCGGGTCTCTTTGGGACCATTTGGGATGCCTCGTGACGATTTTGAGGACCTACGGGGCCGTCTCGGAGCATCGGAAAAACGAACGGGCGAGACAACTAGAATCATTGAACAACCTATGGGATATTAATGATGTTAGCCTCCTGGAGGTCCTCTTGGAGCCCGCTTGGGACGTCTGGGGGGCTCTCTTAGGGGCTGCTTTGGGGCCTCTTGGGGCCTAGTGGGGGGCTCTCTTGGGGCCTCCTGGGCGCCTCCTGGGACGGAAGGCTCTGATTTTCGGTTGGGGGGCCGTCTCGAGGCATTCTTGGGCCGTCTTCGGGGCGGTACTGGGGGCTTCCTGGGATGTTTTGGAGGGTCAGACGCTTGAAAAGTGGAGAATCCCCAACATCTTGAAAAAACCGTAGGACCACCTGTGATTTTGGCATCTCGGGGCCTTCTTGAGAAGGCTTTTGGAGGCCTCGGACGTCTTGGGCGCTTGTTCGGCCGACTGGAGGCCATCCTGGGCGTCTTGGAGCGATCGTTCGGCGATTCGGGGCCCTCTGGGAGCATCCTGGGGCCCCTCGTGGGGCTCTCTTGGCCCGTCGTGGGGCCCGCTGGGGCCCGAAAAAGTCACGCGGCGGGGGGCGACAAGCCCCATAGGGGGCAGGCTAGGAGTTGGACGCCAACACCAATATCGGCTGTGTGCCTCCACCCGGGGGAAGAAGATCCCGATCTCGGTGATGGTGGTAATGTTGCGAAGGCCTTACGGCCGGTGCCGCCGACCCTGACGGGGAACGACGACGACGGCGGCGGCGGTGGCGACGACGACGATGCTGACGTGGGTTGAGTCCTCAAACGTGCTTCTTGGGGTTTCTTCCGAGCGCTCTTGGGGGCCTCTGGGGGGATGCTTGGGGGCCTCTTGGGAGCCTCTTGGGGCCTCTTTGGGCTTCCTGGGGGCCTCTTGGGGGCTTCTCGGGGCTGAGGGCTCGAACTGTCCGTTCGGGTCCCCCGTCTGGGCACTCTCTTGGAACCGTCTTGGGGGCCTCTTGTGCCGTCTTGGAGGCGTCTTGGGCCGTCTTGGGGCACTCTTGGGCCGTTTGGGGACTCTCTTGGAGGCCTCTTGGGCCGTCGCTGTGTGCCTCCACCGGGGGAAGAAGATCCCGATCTCGGTGATGGTGGTAATATTCTGGCTTCCAAGGTGACCGAAATATTACCACCAGCATCGAAATGTAGGATCATCTAACCCCTGTGGAGGCAACCCCCTGTGTTGGCGCTGGTGCCAATTCCCAGGCCTCCAACATGGAGGTACGGCGAGAGCTCAACAGCTTTGGTAGTTTTGGGGTCGGGGCCCCGACATAATCTTCAGGATTGAGGACTGAGGCCGAATGGATTGGGCCAAGGACCGAGAAGGGACCTGAGGACACTCCACGTTGTGCCACACAGGGGCACGGTGTCGGAGAAATGGCGCACACGTGCTCCCAGGTGGCTTAAAGGGGGTTAGGTAACTCTGCTAAGTGAGCTCCGCCCACTCAGCCCATACCTTGACCACCCTTAAGCTGCTGGGTGAGGCCAGATAGCCGATCCCCTTCACACCCCCAGTCGTGATCCAAGTGCGCGCCGTGAAACGCAGACCCCCGACGTCGTGTTTTCAGTTGTTTCTTAACGGCGACCGCCAGAGGTCTGGAGCACTTCCCGGGGAGCGGCGCCTCATCCCGATTTCTTTGGGTATTTTTGGACTGTCTCGGGGCCATCTTGGACCATTTTGGACCATTTTGGCCGTCTTGGAGGCCCTCGGGGGTGTGTAGCCATTTGGGCTCAAGCGCGCGAACACTCCTAAATTGTACACGTTGCAGGTTCTCTATCCCCAGAACAGGGCCCCTCACTTGACGGATCGACCTGCATGGCTGTTTTGCAGGTGTTGCGCTTCGTATGGCTGTCACTGGTGGTGCTCCCGCCTGTCCGTGGACTTTCCGCAGTCCGTCTGCCCCAGACGGAACCAATACACAGCCAGCATGATAATAATAATAATCGATATGGATCCATAGGGCAAGAAGTTGAAATGGACGAACTATTCGATAGTCACGCACGTCTCCCTCCGAAGGCGAACTGCACCGAGGAAAGCTGGATGATTCCTAAGCATGAGGTGTCTCGCAGAAAACACTTCAATTTCTCGCAGAAGCCGTGGATCGTGTTCAGAGGGGCAACATTTCGCGCCACAGCCGAGGCGCAAGATGTGGCGCTCTGCTCGATAAGGCGCCACGTGGTGGCACCCCTGAAAAGGGCGTACGCCCTCACCTCGGTGCATGTGCACCTCTGTGTTCGCCCCCACGGGGCGAACCATCTACTCGTGGAGAGCGCCGAGAAGTATTTCGGGGTCGCGAGTGGCGACGTCAGTCTTCGGGAGCTGAGCGAGGCAGAGCAGCCCCTGCAGCAGGGCCAGTACAGGGCCTGCCTGGCTGACGTGCCCAACAATGCCGGGTTTGCGCTCATCCTGCGGCCGGATTTGGTCTTTCAGAAGAGTTTGAGCTTTGATCGTGCTGCGTCCCCCGACATGTTCTATTTCCAGTGGAACTTGTTCCACTATTGCGTGAATCGGGAAATCGCCGATCAGATTCATCTAGTGGGGGGCAGCTTGATCCCCGAGTTCAAAGAGAAGTGGAACAGCGAGCAGATGGGGGCAGCCAAAGCGGGGCAGCCATACTGGGATACTTTCCACATGATGTTCACGTGGGCCATCGAAGCCTTCGGACAGGAGCGCGTGGGATACCTAATGGAATATCCCGCCACGAATTGTTTATATCGGGGCAGAGGCGGTTTTCGGCGATGGCACCAGTACGGCTTCTGCAAGCAGCGTGGGAACCCCGGGGTGCTTCACTACGGCAACGTCACGAACCCGCTGTTTACCTACGACCGCTTGATCAATGGAAGTGCTGACGGCGAGGCGTTGTGCAAATGGGACTAGACTGCGAGGCCCAGGCGCGCGGGCGAAGCGATCGCGCAGGTCATGGGGGATCCTGTGAGGCCTGGGTTGTTCTGTGCGGGTACAGCGCTGTTTCTGCCGCCGTGGTGGCGGGCGGCAGCCCACGCCAGGGCGTGTTGCCCCGATTTCCCCTTGTGTTTGCCTCTTGCCCCAGGTCTTTCTCGCAAACTGTGGGCGCCTCGCGTACCCCCGCCAGCCCATGCAGAAACGACGCCCAGGGGAGTTGAGGTGATCAGGGCAGCGGGGGAGCATATAGAAAAACAAAGGACGGGGGAAGCCGTCCTATAAGATACCCCAAGAGAAGGGGGATGGAGGAGGACTCGTCGTCGTTGGAGGAGGAGGAGGAGGAGGAGAGTAGGAGAAGGAGGAGGAGGAGGGGGGGAGGGGGATGAGGAGGAGGAGGAGGAGAAGGAATCTGATGAGGAGGATAATGAGGAGGAGGAGGAGGACATGGAGTAGGGCGAGGACGAGGACAACGAGAAGGAGGATCATGAGGAGGAGTAGGGGGAGTGGGAGGAGGCAGGAGAGGGGGGGAGGAATAGGTGGATGAGGACGAGGAAGGGACGGCGACAGAAGAGCCAGAAGCTTCTTAAATGCCTCTCGGAGTCTCCTCGGGTGTGGCTCGGAAGTTTTTTGGAGGCCTCTTGGGGCGTCTTGGGGGCATCTTGGCGGGCCCAGGTCCGTCTTTGAGCGTCTAGGGTGCCCCAGGGATCCTCTGGAGGCCTCTTGGGGGTCTCTTGGGAGCCTCTTGGAGACGTCTTGGGCGCCTTTTGGGGCCTCCTTGGCGCCTCTTGGGGCCTCCTTGGCGCCTCTTGGGGCCCTGTTGGGGCGCTCCTGGGAGCTTGAGGGGCGCTCTTGGGGCCATCTTGGAGGACATCGAGCAAAACATGTAGAAGTTTCAATTTGCCCCCCCCCCCCCCCTCCTCGGGAGCTCCAACAATCGTCTATTGGGGCGCTCTTGGGGCGCACTTGGAACGCTTTTGGATGTTCTTGGGGCCGTCATGGGGCTCTCTCGGGCCTCTCTTGGGGCCGTTATTTGGTCATCTTGGAGCCATCTTGAGGCCTCGGATGGCCATCGGAAGCGAAAAGGCGAGAAAGCAGCGCATTTTGATTGTCCTTAGGTTTTGGAAGGATTTTGGCCCGCCCTTGGGGAGCTCTTTGGCCACTTGGAGCCGTCTTGGAGCGTTCTTGGGGCCTCTTGGAGCATCTTGGGAGCCTTCTTGAGGCATCTTGGGCTATCTTGAGCCATCTTGGAGGTCATCTTGGGTTCTCCGATGCCCTCTTGGAGCCGTCTTGGGCCATCTTGGCGGCTCCAACTACCCGCGGATCCCCGTGTCCAGGTCCAGGGGAGGGGGCAGGGGGAGGGGTCAAGACACCCTCCAAGATAGCAAGCCGTCTAGCTCACTCCCACCCGCCCTCCCAACACAGAAGTAACACCCGAGCCTCAGTATTTTCAGTGGTTGTCTTTGGATGGGCAGCTACTGGGAACCAAAGCCGAGCCCATGTGCGCGACGCTGGAGCCCGAGCGTGCCAGGCACGTCTGGTGCGCCAGATGCGCCAAGTGCTCCACATGCGCCAGGTGCGCTGCACACTCCAGCCGCGCTAAGTGCGCCATGTTCGGGGCACACGCGCGCCAGGCACCCTTGGGGCCCGAGCGTGACCGGCAACGCCAGGTGCGCCAGATGCGCCACGTGCCTCCGCGTGCGCCAGGTGTACCGCATACTCCAGCTGTGCCAGGTGCGCCACGTTTGGGGCACGTGCAGACTGTGTCAGGTGCGCTTGCGCACGTGACAGCACACATCGGGAAACACGCCCACCATGCCCGCCATCCTTGTCGAAAATGCGCACAACAGGCCTGCGCCATCACCCCAGCCGTCCCTGTCAAAAACCACTTGGCAGCGATCGCGGGCGTGGCGCATGATCCAGCTGTAGCCGCGAGGTGCATTTTGAATTGTAGTTTGTCAGGGATGGTAGCCCTGCGCACAGCAGGCAATATGCTGACACCGCCGTCCCTTTCAAATAACAATACAAAGTGCTCGCGGGCCTCACGAACATGACTCCAGACTTCGCCCCAAAGTGTATTTCGTATTTCCCAACCAACCTGTGTTGTTGGGTCCTCGTTTTGAAGAGACGGTCCCCGCGTTCCTCCTCCTCCTCCTCCTCCTCCTCCTCCTCCTCCTCCTCCTCCTCCTCCTCTCCTCTCCTCCTCCCCCTCCTCCCTCCTCCTCCCTCGTCCCCCTCTTCCCTGCGTTTCACCCACCCATTACAGCGTTTCGTAGCCCCATAGGGAGCTCCACCGAAGGCCCCAGTGCCACCGTCCACATGCGTCCCCCCCACTCAGTACAGCGTTTCGTGGCCCCATAGGGAGCTCCACCGAAGGCCCCAGTGCCACCGTCCACATGCGTCCCCCCCACTCAGTACAGCGTTTCGTGGCCCCATAGGGAGCTCCACCGAAGGCCCCAGTGCCACCGTCCACATGCGTCCCCCCCACTCAGTACAGCGCTTCGTGGCCCCATAGGGAGCTCCACCGAAGGCCCCAGTGCCACCGTCCACATGCGTCCCCCCACTCAGTACAGCGTTTCGTGGCCCCATAGGGAGCTCCACCGAAGGCCCCAGTGCCACCGTCCACATGCGTCCCCCCCACTCAGTACAGCGTTTCGTGGCCCCATAGGGAGCTCCACCGAAGGCCCCAGTGCCACCGTCCACATGCGTCCCCCCCACTCAGTACAGCGTTTCGTGGCCCCATAGGGAGCTCCACCGAAGGCCCCAGTGCCACCGTCCACATGCGTCCCCCCACTCAGTACAGCGTTTCGTGGCCCCATAGGGAGCTCCCCCCACCGAGCCACGTCGTCCACACACTCAGTACAGCGTTTCGTGGCCCCATAAGGAGCTCCGCCGAAGGCCCCAGTGCCACCGTCCACATGCGTCCCCCACTCAGTACAGCGTTTCGTGGCCCCATAGGGAGCTCCACCGAAGGCCCCAGTGCCACCGTCCACATGCGTCCCCCCCACTCAGTACAGCGTTTCGTGGCCCCATAGGGAGCTCCACCGAAGGCCCCAGTGCCACCGTCCACATGCGTCCCCCCCACTCAGTACAGCGTTTCGTGGCCCCACAGGGAGCTCCGCCGAAGGCCCCAGTGCCACCGTCCACATGCTTCTCCCCCACTCAGTACAGCGTTTCGTGGCCGAAGGCCCCAGTGCCACCGTCCATATGCGTCCCCCCCTCTCAGTACAGCGTTTCGTGGCCCCATAGGGAACCCCACCGAAGGTCACAGTGCTGCCGTCCACATGCGTTCCCCCCAGTCAGCACAGCGTTTCGTGGCCACATAGGGAGCTCCACCGAAGCCCCCAGTGGGACCGTCCGAGTGCGTCCTGAAACACCCAGTTTGGCATTTCCACCCACCCATTACAGAGTTTCGCGGCCCCATAGGGAGCTCCACCGAAGGCCCCAGTGCCACCGTCCGCATGCGTCCCTCGCACCCAATGTGGCATTTTCACGCACCCAATGCAGCGTTTCGTGGCCCCACAGGGAGCTCCACCGAAGGCCCCAGTGGGACCGTCCGCAAGCGTCCCGAAATACCCATTGTGGCATTTTCACCCACCCAGTCCAGCATGTCGTGGCCCCGTAGGGAAGGAACTCCACCGAAGGCCCCGGTGCCACCGTCCGCATGCTTCCCGAAAACCCAACGTGGCATTTTTACCCACCCAATACAGCGTTTCGTGGCCCCTTAGTGAACTCCACCGAAGCCCCCAGTGGGACCGTCCGCGTGCGTCCCGGAAGCCCAATTTGGCATTTTCACCCACCCATTACAGCGTTTCGTGGCCCCATAGGGAGTTCCACCGAAGCCTCCAGTGGGACCGTCCGCATGCGTCCCGGAAGCCCAAGTTGGCATTTTCCATTACCCAGTGCAGCGTTTCGTGGCCCCATAGGGAGCTCCACCGAAGCCCCCAGTGGGACCGTCCGCATGCGTCCCGGAAGCCTTACTTGACACACCACTCACCCAGAGCAGCGTTCCCCCCCACCCAGTGCAGCGCGTCGTGGCCCCATAGGGAGTTTCACCGAAGAAGATTTTCACAATTGCGGTACCCACAGCTGCATATGGTTGGGTCCTTCGCCAGGATAATGTGTTTTAACAGGGATGGTGCGGGGGGGCCCGCATCGGGCTGGTTGCGCATGCACTGAATTTTGAGGCAGAGTGTGTGTTCGCATTGTTTTTTGACAAGGATTGTTCGGGGGGGTCCTCATGGGGTCCTCATTGTTCCTGGTTGGCTGCCGGTCGCTAGGAGGAGGGGGTGTATGTTAATTGGAAGCAATGATGACCCCTCCCCGAAGGGAAGAAGGGGGTTGGAAGATGAAACTCCGTAGACCACCTACGCCCAGAGGGCCGGTGGGATTCCGGGTGGCCGGCGCGCTAGGACGAAGCCCAATGTGGGAGTCTTACAAACAATCGTAAACTATCTGAAGTTTAGCACGCTGGGCACCGCTGTGGTAACCCAACAGGGGGCGGCGGATCGAAGACGCCTACTGCGAATAACCGCCGCCCCCTGCCTTCTAGGATACACCTATGTTACCAAACGTTTGGGCAAAGTTTGGCCACGCTATTGGAACATGCGTTCGCCCAGCCGTTGTAGAAGCCGTTTGGGAACCGTGTGGGGGAGGAAGAGAAGGATGAGGAGAGTGAGGAAAAAGGAGGATGAGAAGAAGGATGAGGAGACATCTTGGGAGGTTCTTGGGTCATTCGTGGGGCCTCCTAGGAGCTTCCTGGGGGCCTCTTAGAGGCTTCTTGGGGCCTCCTTGGGCCTCCTGGGGGCCTTTTGGGGCTCATTCGGAGCCTCTTTGACCGTCGTAGGGTTTTCCTGGCTTATTTGACGCCGTTGGAAGCAGTCTTGGGGGCCTCTCTGAACCGACTTGGGGCCCACTTGGAGCGCTCGGGCCGTCTTGGAGGCCATCATGGGCGTCTTGGGCCGTCTTGAGGCTCTATTGGGGCCGTCTTGGAGGCTTCTTGGGCCGTCATGGTGTCATTTTGGATGCCTTTGGCGCCATCTTGGGGCGGTCTTGGGGCCCTCTTGGGTTGTATTTGGCCGTCGGAAGGCCGAAAAGATGCAACTGGCCAAATTCTCCATAAGAGGAAATCCATGATATTGGCATTTTCGGACCATCCTGGAGGGTCTCTTGGAGGCCTCTTGAGCCGTCTTGAAGGCCTC